TAAGTTCAAGCTTGCTTTTTCTTCATTATTATTGTTCTAAATGAGGGTGTAAACATTCAGTGCAGATGGCCTCTTCTCCCCCACAGAGAGGGAATCTGTTTCATTTGCTGCATGTCGGAGTTTCACCAGCCTGGGGTATGGAGAAGTCCTTGAGGTAGTTGCCAAAAGAGAGTCCAAGCCTTCAGGCACACTTGGAGCTTTTCACTTTTAAGTAAGGCCATCATTAAAACATGAGGAGACATAATTGCATCACAGAGCTAGGCAGAATTGCAGGCGTGTCTGGATGTCCTTAAGCATAAGGATTTATAATATATTGCCCTGATATTCATTCCCTTCTTTCTGCAGCTTTCCATACAGAGTACCAAAATCAGAAATCTTAGCCTTGCCTTTTGGAACAAGATTAGTTATAGGAGTTGTACTACAACGCTGAGAATACCCAGAAGATTTCATTATGAAACCACTATGTTTAATTTTAGGGTTTTAAACCCAAATGAAAGTATTGTAATGAAAGCGACTCATTTCATAGGTGTGGAGAGTACCAAAATTGAACCAATTTCAGTGGGAACTCAGCCTGAATAATCGTTCAACTAAATTTGACTTTAGGAAACACATTTGAATACTTTGCTATTAATCTTCTGTGTGTCATGTCTGATTTAAATGTAAAATCAGATTTTCTCCCCAACTTGAAACTTACTTCCATAAGCAAATGGAAATTATTCAACTTTCTTAGATTTTAGTCTAGACCTTTTTTTCAAGATTTTAACTTGCAGAGGAAGTCCACCAAAATTAGAACAAGGGGAATTACTGATAAAATAAAAATGTAAGACAAAGTAGAAGATAATCTCTCTCAGCATTTTGATGCTTATTACATGAAGTAAGGCTAATAAAATACACCCTCAGAGGTGTATGGCAAGTAGAGCCGGTCAGAATGTTTCATTACTAAACTTCATGGGAAAATTATTAGCGTCTGCAAACCCCAATCTATAGAGAGCAATGTATTCATCTGACTGAACCGAAAATGGAGTTGCCATGAGACTGCAGCATCATTTCACTAAAAAGGTGTTGCCTTTTCTCTAATAAATACAGTGCTATCTTGAAAAAAAGACTGCTGTATTTGATGATTAGTGGTACATAAGAGGCCAAACTGTAAAGGAGATAAAACCTTAACTCACCCCATAAAATTCTTTTCCTATGAATACCAGTTTCAGACCAGAAGTTTAAGCTTCTGCTCAAGGTAAAATAGCCATATGAAGGTGCTTCAACATAAGCTGGATGTCTAAGCTTCTCATGTAGTCAATGAAGATCTCTGACAAAATGTAACTGAGTAAATAGTAGCATGGAGGGTCTTTTTATATACTGCTAGGTATGCCATCAGTACACTGCTGTTTTAAAAGGGTGCTGCTTTCCTATAAGCCCTCTGCATTACCTGTTCACCAGATACAGATATCTTGTTACCATAGGGCATCTCAAATAGCACCAAACACACATTTTTATTCACCTTCATGGAGCCCTCAGAGTAGTCAGAAGAACGGTGCAGCTCACTGTAAAGGAGACACATCCATTTCACGCACTACATAATTCTTCAGAATTTTCCCACATCATTATTCATGAATAAAGCTCCAATGCTGAATTCAGTCACCTAAACTTTGGCATCTAGTGCTGTGTGAGATACACAGGGGTAGCCTTCCTGTCATCAAAACACCTAGAAGTAAGGTGGACTTAAGTCCTATCATATCTAGCAAATCTGTGCAGATGTTTCAGATGTCATAGAACATCTCAAATAACTGTAGACCCTTATACATAGGAAACTATACTAAGTCCCCTTGGATGGTCATAAGAGGTTAGGCATTGTTGATGTACACACCTACGATTTGGCACCTACGCTTATGTACCTTAATACCGGATTTTCATAGAATCATAGAATCGTTAGGGTTGGAAAGGACCTTAAGATCATCTAGTTCCAACCCCCCTGCTGTGGGCAGGGACAACTTACACTAAATCATATCACCCAAGGCCTCGTCCAACCTGGTCTTGAACACTGCCAGGGATGGAGCATTCACAACCTCCCTGGGCAACCTATTCCAGTGCCTCACCACCCTAACAGGAATTCTGGTATTTTCTACAGTCTTTTTCAGCATTTCAGAATATTCAAGTTTTTTATCCTAGTTCTTAGCCCTACAGATTATTTCTGAGGCAATCTCTGTAGGTTTTCACTGTAGTATTCCCACTTTGCTCTTTATATTGAGCTATCAAATGAACACAGTACTATTCCCTTTGCTCAGGAGTCAAAAGGTTCAAAGACAGCAGGCCAGAAGATTTCTATTCAATCCTTTGTTAAACTTACTATCTGCATCTACTGGAAATGAATTGTTGCAGGTATTGCCAACTTTTAAAAGAGGTAAACTATTTTCATTTGCGTACAAGACCATAAATATTTTTATATGTACCTTGGTATAGTCAGTTCCCCAAATCAAGACTCAGAAGATCATGCAAGCCATGTAAAAAACATGAGATATTTTAACTGGTAATGATATATTTTAATTTCCCTTTTCTTGCTTTTTGTTATTGTAAGCTCCATCACATTTTAATTTCTATGGATTTATGAAGACCAGAAATGATAATAAAATTCAACACAAAATCTTGAAATCACCTGACTCCTAAAAGGACTTTGGAGAGCTATAAATATTCTTATCTATGTTCTTATGCTGATTTTACTTTTACTACTATTAAAAACATGACTTATGATGATGAAGATGATTTCTATTATCCTGGTATGCCAGGCATTTCTAGAAAAAAAATAAAGTGAGGAATGTTTATGTTTTTAATGCTAAATTTAAAAGATGCAGATATTACTACAAGTGCAGATTTCAAGATTCATGTGGAATTAATTGATGTCTGCAAACTGGTCCCTGTAAATATTTAATTATCATTTTTCTCTCATTACTAACTGGGGGTAAACATAAGTTCCAGCTTTAAAAAGTGCCTGGAGACTAATGGATAAACGTTCTAAAAGTGAGTTATTTCTTAACAGCCTTCAGGAGACCTTTTGTAAAAGACTGGGACACTCTCAATCTGAAATGGATATTTCCAATCTAAGCTCTCATTTTGGTTAAGCATCCCATATGTTTGTTGTCTTCTCTGCAATATGAGCTTTCCTAGCAAACAAGGTTCCCATATGTCCAGCAGACAGAAAGATTACCCTGTTTTTCCCATACAGTTTTTTGGGGTTGTTTGGTTTTGGTTTGGGACTTTTTTGTTACTTCCATCATCCCAACAATTGTCCATGTCCTGTATAATCTTTATTCCCTTGTTCCTTACTTTTTCACTTTTTTCTGAAATAGCTAGAAAGACTGAGAAGCCAAAATGTGGAAGAGAAGAGTTCTTGTTGAATCAAAATCTTCCCATTTCTGAGCTACTCATGGGTCTCTGCATTAGACCAACATTTACTGATGTGGTGCCTAAGACACCCAGAGAGTTACTGCAGTGCCAAGATCTTAAATAGTACGGGATAGTAAATAGTTATTGTTTTGTCAGAATCACTGTAATGTGGGGGGGGTTTGCCCTCACCCAAAGCAATATAAAGTATTGATTTCTCAAAAATGTCCACAGACTCAAAAATCGCCTCTGCTCCTCTTGTGTTCATTCTGCCTTAAGCAGAATTGGGATAACTGAAATCAGCTTTTAAAAACTGCAATGGCACTTCAACCCTGTGAAATAATTTTTCATTTATGTTTCTAAATGAAAATTAAAGATCTGGAGGATTTGAGTAGGGTTTGGTGTTTATTTTTTTTTTATGTGAATACCTTGTTTGCACTAAGATGTCTAGTACAACTTGAATCTCCCTGTCCCTTACATGAACATCTTATACTGTACATATAATATTTAGGCAAATAGGGCTGAAACTGATTCTCTGAACTGGTCTCTGGTGCCATTTCTGTTATCCTAAGGTAGCAGAGACGTCCTCACAAAGATAGTATCTAAGAGACAGGACCCATGGGAAACTTGCACACTTATGGATATATAGGTGTAAGCCAGCCTGGATGACTAAAACATTTCAAGTGACTGTAGATGCATATGTGTGCACTGAAATGGTCCTCTAAACTGAGATTAGATTAACCCACTATAGGTCTGCCTGGTAACTTCATTAACACATAATTTCAGTAGCTGCTAAGTGAGGAGCATCACTGAAATTGCAGTGCAGAAAAAAACCAAGAAAAAAAATAGTGTTCTCTTGAAGAAAGCCCCTACCTTATTTGGATGTAAGGTGCAACAGGCTAAATCTATACTAGTAAATTCAACACAACCAGGGCAACATTGCTTGAATTTGATTATTTTTACTATTATTTGGTTAGGATGGTGCATGAATTTAACCTGGCTGAACTAGCCCTTTATGAAACAGTTCCTGGACATTGTTTTGACATTAACCTTATCCAGGTACTATTCCCTGTAGGCAGTTCAGAGTTTACTCTGTTGGATGCTCAGAGGACTTAGACACACAGATATGGCCAAACTGCCATATCTGTGCTGAATTTCCTAGTACAGATCCACTCATACATCCGTATAGAGCAACCAGGTCTTGGTCAAGAGTCTGATGTAGAAGAATGAATAAACCACACAGAACTGGTTTTATTTACCTGAGAGAGCCAAAACTTTTGGGATTGGAAAAGTAGCAGTGCTGAAAAGTCTAGGGCACAGATCCTCTCTTGGTCTCTTTGAATCAACAACACTGTCAATCTGCATCAGCCAAGGATCTGTCCCCCTGTGTTCAGAACTGAGACTCCTGCAAAACCCAGCCTTTGAAGCTGCATGTAGTCTGCTCTTTGGCTCTACTCTTTTCTTTTCTGTTTCTCCCATAGGTAACAAATAGTTTAGGGAGCAAATCTTGAATTTCACTATAATGAAATGAGTGTAGTGTAAACTCTTCGATGTATGTGAGCGTATTTATATTTATGTCTGTGTGTGTATTTCTTGTTATTTTTCTGTCTCCTTCCCATTTGTAGTTTGATCACTCATGGTTTTGGAACTCCTGCAATATGTGCTGCCCTAAGCACTTTCCAAACTGTTCTCAGTGAAATGCTGAACTACTTGGAAAAGCACACATCGCACAAAAACGGAGGAACGGCAGAATCCGGCCAAGGACACGCCAACTCGGAGAAAGCCCCCCTGCGGAAAACTTCAGAAGCTGCTGTGAAAGAGGGCAAAACAGAAAAGACAGACTAGCTACATCAAACAGAATCTATTTCGAGAGAGTCTTGCTGCTGATATTTTTTTTAAATATATATATCATTGAGGGCAATTTATCTCCAGTGGACCAAATCCAAAAAAGGGGAAAAAAAAAAAGAAAGAAAGAAAGAAAAATCAAATAAAAAGAAAATAGGAAAAGATTAAAGCAGAGAGAAAGAGAGAGAATGAGAGGAAAGCATTCAATCTTAAGAACAGCAGTGTACAGTAATTGTGTGATGAAATTGTCACTTTTTAAAAATTTATGTTGCTCTAAACTACTTTTTCGTGCACGTAGTATTTGATTGTTCTGAATGATACACTAACACTGTTTTTTATAAACACTTCTGGACTTGGCTGAGGTGGCACATGAAATTTGAAGCACTTTCTTCTCCAGCAGCAGAATTAGGGCCAGTGCTTCGGTTGTGGGACATGCAGTTCCAGTATCCTGACTTTGTTTGCATGCTGGACAGATTGAAAGAAGGGCTTCCTTTGATCCATCGGAATTGCCTGATCTACTCACCATTGGGAAAACAATATGGAAACCTGGCAAAAGAGGAATTCTTGGGCCGTGGGACAAATGAACTGTTCGGTGCTGGGGGCTACTCATCCCCATGTGGGAATGTTCAATAAAGCTGCACTGGAATGAGGCCAGAACCTCTTAGGAATCTGCCCTCAAGCAGCAGCCATGGTGTCTTTTTTTAAAAGAGAGTGACAGACAAAAGTGGAAAAAAAAAACAAACAAAAAACAACCCAACCTCAATAGTTTCAATAAAAGCCCTCATCCCTCTGTGAACTTCAGATTAAATGACAGCATGGGCTTCTGTCCTCTGTCTTCTCAGCCCCTGGTCCTATAACACTGCAGTCTGCCATACCTGTGTCTCTATTTAACAGGATCAATTCAGGCAATTGGAGCCATCTTTTTTGTTGCCTTGATTTTATGACGCTTTCTTTTCTTCAGCTTATTTCTGCAGCTTTATTGTCTTTAGGAATCCAGCTGAGGTGTAGAGATCTAACAGAATCCACTCATTTTCCAACAAGAAAACAAAATAAAACAAAATCAAAACAACAAATTAGACAGATTGGCTTAGTCCACAGCATCTAAGTGGTAATATACTTTTGAAATATTACTTTACCACTCATCCTCACAGAGAAAACATTGGAGACATAGATTCAGCTCAAGAGGCTTTTTCCAGCCACATTCTAACTTCTTCAACAAGAATTTTATTCCATTACTTTTCTTGTTCCTCTGACATCACTTTATTGAGAAAGTTAGGAAGGACTGGAGTTACAGGATGGGGTCATACTGGCCATCTAAACTCCTTTTAAGATCAGCAGAATCAGAATTTTTCTTCCAAGGGACAGTTCATCTCTGTGGTAGGAAATAGCACAGCTGTCTACATGTAAGTGTTCAGACCACTTTGAGATGTTTTAGAGTATCTAAGACAGTCACAGAGTTTTGACCAAAATAACACGAAACCTAAAGGAGGACTGGACTCACCTGAGGAGGAACTGGAGGGTACCAGAAGATAGCACTAGATACCCATGGGTGGCCTCTTGATTGGCACACCAAGTGTCGAGGATAGGTAGAAGGGATCATCTGAAAGTGACTGTCATTCTTCACAGAGGAAAGCTGGAATAAGACAGTGACATTTTGCACTGTAAATGACTGCAACTGGATTAATCATCCTCCTCTCCCTATAATCAGCAGAGAGAAAAAGGCTCTTACAGTATGCAGTTTATCTCACCTTAAAGCAGCGATGAATCATACCCTAAAAGTATGTACTTTTTCTCAATTATATATAAAGGAAGCCAAGGATAAAAGCGCTCATACATGTATACATCACAGCTTTCTAGAGTCAGTTAACATGCATTGCATTTTGAATGACCAGCTTTAGACTAACCTAGGGACTTTGACAAATATCTGAGAGCATTTACAGCCATAATGTAGGGTGTCAAATTGAATTAACAAAATCAGCCTCACCTTCCAAACGCATGGAAGGAAAACCAGCACTTATGGCATAATGCTTTTCCCCTTGAGGTCAGTAAGGACATTGCCATCATGGTGAGGAAACACGACAGGAATACTGAGTCCTTATTTGCTTGTATTAAAAAAAAAAAAAAAAAAAAAAAAGGAAAAAAGGAAAAAAGATATCCCATGATTTTGCCTAGATTTGTCCTTTCTTACAGAGGTATGTAACTGAGATACCTACTTTAGTGCTATTTAGGCACCCTGTATGCATTGAGGGAAATAGGTGTATCTCCACAGGACTCCACCTCCTTAACACACTATCAGCTAAGTGCCTAGCAGAAATTAGACTTTACAGAATGAATTTTTCACTCCAGTACCTCTGGAGAAGTACTAAAATCAAATGAATGATCCTCAGAGATATCTTTGACAGAAATATTGTGGGACTGTTCTAGAACATGAAATACTTGAGTGTGAAAATATGTGACCACCGTTAAAAGTGAAAAGGTAGATCATTCTGCTTCTTCCATTGACCAAACTGAGAGGGAGAAAAGGAGAGAGGGGAAAATCAGAAGCTGACTGTCAGATATGCAGATTTACCACATCAAAATGTAGTGTAAATCGATTTAATTGTGGTCCTCTGCTTCAAGATATAGATAAATTTAAATTAGATTTTGTTGGAGGGGAAAAAGAAAAGAAAAAAGTTTTTTAAATCTATTTAGATATTCGTCTCTAAAATATCAACCTTCTGGAGAAGGGGGAATGTCTGGTTGGGAAGATTATTCTGTGAAAATGTTGAGAAAGCAGCATTTTATTACAATGAAATTCAGATGTCTCATACTGGAAAAAATATGTATACACCTATATTTGAAATATTTACCTATTCAGGATATGGTAAAAGATCCCAACAATAATTTATTTAAAAACTTGCATCTTTTATTGTTACATAACACTATATAAATACAAATACAGAACACTAAATAACACTGAGCCTCTACTCTGGAGGCAAAAAAATATTTTTGACCTGAATTACCCCTTAATCTATTAGTATTAATAAACCTGAGCGCTCTTGAAACCCAGAACTTCCAGGGTTTGTCTTAATGACCCCTACATATTTCTTGTGTGATTCAATACAGATCCGATTCAACACAGATCCGATTCAACTTGACTAAACTGCTGTATATTCTTTCCATGAAGAGGCTACCTGCATTACATGCCAAACATTCTGTTTTTTCGTTTAGTATATTAGCACACTTAAAAAGCAAAATTTTTAAAAAGTAGCTGCAAGTTTGCTGACATTCACAGTCTCTCTGTATTTTATAGTTAATTGTTGCTGATAATTTTATTGAAAGAAAAAAGTATTATTACTGCAGTTTGGCATCAAATGCCTTTGATCTTTGAAACAGGAACTTTCAGTGTGGTTTTAAGCAATGAATTCACCGATGTTGCTGTTAAAATCTCAGCTTAATCCAGTTATACCTGCACAATATTTCCATGTTGTGTCTTTTTTTAATATTCTTTGTCTCTTTGGAAATGTTGCCATTTCAAAACATGAATTAAATCAGTCCGAAGGAAGGGCACGGTTTGAAGTTAGTGGGTTCTCGCTGGTAGCAAAGTCAATTATATTTTTACCTTTTTTACTTCGAAATTAATCTGAGCTAGAAAAAAAAAAAAGAAACAGAAAAAGTTCTTCCTTTGAAAGGGCATGGAATTTTTTGTTCCATTCAGTTCAAAACCATCAAGGGAGTACAGAAAAGTGTCCACATTTTTGAACAGTGAATGTGTGCCAATGAATCGTCATGATTTTTGAAACCCCAAAAACAGATTCATAGCTGTCTAAGTATTTGGATCCTGTTGTACTTCAGCCCATCACTCAGCTTTGTATGCCTTACAACTTTCCCACCACAAACCTCACAACGCTTTAAATATGTCTCTAAACTTCTTATACTAAGCACTAACATATTTGAGTCACAAAGACCAGCTGTTAACACTTGCATCTGTTAGCAAATGACTCATGAAGTAAACACACTGACAAACCACATACTTGTCCTTCTAGAGCAAGGTGTTACTGTGAGTTCAAACACCTTGTGTTGTCTAAGCTTAGAAGGTAAATCTCTGGCAGAACTAGGGGTGACATTCTCACCTCTAACCTTTGCCCTAATATTTGGATCTGTGTTCACATAGTCCTCCATTAGTATCATCACATGTCAGATGTGTGTAGTAAAGGGAAAGTTTTATGTGGATGATGATAACTGGAACAATGTTCCTATGGCCTGTAAAGAAGAGTGAACGACAGACAAGCAGTGATGACCCTGCCACCTATGACAGAAGACTGTCAAGAGTTTTGTCCTCCATGCCACCATCTTAAACCCTAACTCTTTCTAGGTGTCATTCTGTTGCATTGGAGAACTGGCACAAGGGGTGAATTTGGACCTTTAATTAACTTCTTTTTTAAACATAAACTCCAACATTCATGGGGAAAAGACTTCAGCTCTCCAAATCAGCAAGGAACCTGCTCTCTGAAGTGTCTCTTTAACCTTTTCTAAGAACAAAAAAATCTGCTATAAGCAGGCGCAATGTATAGTCCTTCCATATCCTGGACTTCTGTGTAAATATTTCCCCAGCTCACCTCTTCCTTTGAACATTACTCAGTGGCACAGCTGCTGCTCACAATTTTGCAGCGAGGCTCAAGAAGGGCTGCTTTATAGTTCTAAAAGCCAATTTCTCTTACTGCTTGTTTGTTTGTTTGTTTTGTTTCCTAATACCAACAACCAGTTTTGGTCTTAGATCTGCTGATGAATTCCAAGGTCATTTGACTTTCATTTATCCTTTGGAGAGAAAGTTCTGCTGATCTAATTCTTTATTTTTAAGGATAAATAAAACCCCAGCATTAATAGAAGACACAAGCCTGCAACACAAGGAAGAATCAATAAACATAATTATACAGGAATTGCATTTATAAAAATATCCTCTGCCTCTGTCCTCATTATAGGTTCAACAAGACTCCAGGAACAGCTGTGTTGGTAATGGGGGAGGAAGATAAAATAATTTTCCTTTGCCAGATGAAGGTCATTTGGAGAGATCTGATCTTTTTAATTGTTATTTTTTATTTTTCTTTATTTTTTACAATTGATTCTGTTTTGTACAGCAGCTGTTGTGATTGTATTTAAATGTGAGTGCGCACTTGATCACCAACAAACAATGTTTTTCTTATTGGTTTGGCATTTTCGTTTGGATTGGGTTTTTTCCTTCTATTTAATTTAACTTAATTTATAATTCAGTGGTGAAAAACATAATCTTTTATATTTCTATTTCCTATACAAGCTACCTGTTTTACATGAGTCTATGAAGATAATGACAGCATTTGATCAAACATTTCACGGCAATAAAATCTATGTTAATTTAACCCTGATTTGTCTGTCACTTGAAAATAATTTTCATCTCTAGATAAACAGACAACCAAACCTGGCTAGGAACTGGACCTATGACATTAAGGATCTAGAACTTCCACCTATATACAGAGATTAAAGATAAACCACCTAACTGTAGTTATATTCAGTATTTAACTATCTCATCTCGAATATGTCAACCAGATTTAATGCTTGTCGTATTAAGAGAAGGGTATAATTCAAGGCAATTTTTAGTGTCCTGAAGCAGGGATCCAAGCTACTGGATATGATTTGCCTTAATAGTCTCTCTCAAGTAATCACAGGGAAAAACTGGAATCATGGAATCACAGAAGGGAATTTAAAGATCATCTAGTTCCAACACCTCTGCCACAGACAGGAGCACCTTCCACTAGATCAGGTTACTCAAAGCCCCACCCAACCTGGCCTTAAACATTTCCAGGGATGGGGCATCCACAACTTCTCTGGGCAACCTGTTCCAGTATCTCACCAACCTCATAGTAAAGAATTTCTTCCTAATGTCTAATATAAATACACCCTCTTTCAGTTTAAAGCCATTCCTCCTTGTCCTATCACTACATGGAAGGAATCCTAGTCCCTACCCACTGACAATGAACACAACCTAGAAAATTTGCTAATTCTGGATACTTAATATTTAGATTACCAGGCCAAGTCTTGAGAAGTGCCTTGCCCACAATAGCATAGAAAGGCTGTGACAGTGCCAGCAACCAAATCCACATCTCCACAATCTCAAACTCACTCTTTAATCTTCTCCCTCAAAACTTACAGCAGTTCATTCCCAAGTCATATGTCAGCTAAAGGTCTGGGTTAATTGCCAACACTCCACTCTGGATTTTAATCCCAGTGCTGTGGCACAAGGTTTGGTTCTTCCCAAGCAGAAATGAGAGTCAAAAAGAAAACCTTTAAATGTAAATAACATCCTCTTTCAAGTATGACTTATAGCAACTCCAGCTTAGTTGTTTATCCAAACTTTTCAAGACGAATGGGTCTGAAAAGTTTTACAGAAAAAAAATAAAAAAGTGGGGTTTTTTTAAAGCAATTTCCTAAACATACTCAGTTTCAAAATGGTTTTGAGAACTTCATAACAACCTTTCTATGCTGTTCCACTGCTTGCAGAAATGACTTTATGAGTAATTCTAGACAATGACACACCAGGGGCAAAGCTGCAATGGCAGAAATTTCAGAAGTATTTCAGCTGAAAAAGGAAATGCTTTGGGAAATAGTTCCTACATGTTTAAACCTGGTTTATCCAACCACCACCTCTGTTCCCTAACAAATGAACTCTCAATAATTAATATTACACTTCTAATCTTCTGGGAAATATAATTTCCCAGGTGCTATAGTGAATTCCTTTGATTAGTTCTGTATGTGTTCTTCTCCAAAGTCGGAGAAAACACAACGGTGGCAAATTAATCAGTATTTTAAATACAGTCACTTTGGTGTGTAAATTTTCCACTCACTCCACTAAAACAAAAAGAAGACAAACCCTCTGAGATTTGCAGAAGTGCAGTGACAAAAATACATGTCAATGTGCACAAGTAGCCTCTAGTTTGCTGACACTGCCACATACATGAAAATGAAAAGGAAAAAGTAATAAGGAAAAAAATCCATCATACAGAGGGCTTGGGCACATTTGTATTCAAAGTAAGTGTCTGGGCAAAAAAGGGACCAAATATGTAGAATGGCGAGTGTCCTGAACTACCAGAGCTAGCAGAATAGATGAAGTATGTATAGTAATATTTGTTCACCTGCTCAACAATAGAAATCCCACTTCTTTCAGAAAGGCTGGGTATTTTGCTGGAAAATACAGCAAATATTTTGCTGGAAAATACAGTTTAGTTTCCAGGCAGGGACCAAAAAACAAGTCTAACAAAATGTCTAGCCTCTTAACAGCTATTTAGGTTTACCTGCCCACAGAAAAACCATAAACAAATAATCAGTGGATACTTCAAGCATTAATGGAAAGGACATTACACTCTGGGCAAAGTTTATGTTGTTTTTTTTTTAATGGAAAGATATTTGAATTAATGCTCTACAAATGGAGTCTCAGGCAACTCAAAATGTCAAGCTTTTGGAGAAAGAATTACTAAGATTATACCACAGCATGGGACAGACACACTGGAGGCATGGTTCAGTCACCCACATACAAGCATCAAGTGACATTTTAGACAGTTCTGTCCATCCTGCCTGACTTCCCACTGCTTCTCCAGAAGAACCAAGGTCTCAGAACTTCGCTATACCTGTCAATCTTATGTGTATATCTTGGATACCTGAGGAAAGCTGAAATAATGCTAAACACCTTTCAGCAAGCATACATGTGCTGTACAGTCTACACATACAGTCTACATGCACAGTAGTACCATTCTGACTCAGTAGCCCACACATAGATATCTGCTGCCATTTCAGCAGCACAGTAGCATTCTGCTTGCTGTCCAGCTGCCACTTAAAAAGAGAATGGGCTTCCCACAGATCCCTGTGGATCCATC